CTAGCAATATCCCTGTTTGTGTGTTTGCTTCTGCTTGACCATTTGTAATAACTTCTTTTAATCAAAGCACCACAGATCTCTAAAAAGCAAAATGACTTTTCAAAAGCAACACTACCTTTCAAAACTTGGCACTGAAGAAGGGGGTCATCTTCAGAAGCCGTCTGGCCAGGTCCTCCATCAATAATTTTAGGGGTGACTCCAAGAGGAAAGTGTCTTGACTGGGGCTCTCACTCCTCCCAGGGAGGTGCATCTCATACTTGATATATTTTCAGCATCAGGCACACACAGTCTCCTCCTCCTTGAAATGCTGCATCCTTGGTTTTACCATTTAGCTTTTAAATGCCGATGGGTTGTTGACAGGTCTTTTCCCTGCATTTCTTCCTTGTAATAACATTCCTTATACGTTGGGTTTTCCTTTATTCTGTTAATTTTAATTTTAATTCTACAAGAGGAAAAAAATAGCAACAAGCAAATAATATGCCAGATAAAATTATCAACCTACAAAACAAGATTTACAAAACATCACACTGGTTCCGTTCCTAAGGGAAGAATTGCTAGTGAAAGATGCCAGATATATTTATTGGAAAGTTAACTGCTCTTTGCCAGGAAATGGAGCAAAACCCACTCATTTCAGGGGTGCCTACAGTACAGCTGTTGGTTAACACAACTCAGCCCCTGATCGGCATTTAAACCAGCAACCTAGAGGTGAAAACACCCCATTGTGTTATCATCCACTAAACCGTTAGAGCTGCATTTTAGAATGAGTCATCTTTAATCTGCATGTATTGATTTTTTTTTAATTGGTAGAAAACTAAAATACTGTCAGCATCTGTGTATGAATGTCTATCTATGTCTTTACTGGTAACTCTCTATATTTGTGTTCTTCTGTCCTTGTTATTCTTCCTCGAATTCTATGATCACTTTTCTTCCAAAGCAAGCCATAAATAAGTAGCTTTGAAACTGGAAATGCATTTTCAACAAAAGAACATAAGAATTAACACAACCTTTCATTACAACCATATTCTGCTGCTTGTATGCACCCTGTTTTGCAATACAATATATTAAGATATGCAAATTCCAGTCAATTCTATACTCATATGATTTGCATAGTAATACATCTGTCATGATATTTTATGTTTATGTTCTTGGATATGTTGTTAAATTGTTTTTGTGGGATTTGTTTAGTTTTATTACTCTTTAGCTTTCCCACCACCACTACCCCTTTGACATTTTATCAGAATGGATTCATTCATGCTTGTAAGCTTTATAGGTAATCACCTGACATCTTATTTCTCTGGCTTTCAGTTTTGGATTTGATGCATTTTCTACAAAGCTTAGTTGAGGCAGTTCTGAAAACACGGAAATAGCTCACCCAGAACACCTTTGGGTATCACTGTTGCTTCCTGACAGTAGTTTCTGTGGGCAGTGGAACTATTAGGAGTATGCCAAAGTAACATTATTCCATCATTCCTGGCAATACTTGGATCTTTGCCTTAGGAGGTCATGAAAAGTGACTCATAGGGCTCATTCACCTGCAGCCAAGTTTTGTTTTAAACTCTGAAAACGCATGAAGAATATTTCACACTCTTTTTCAGAGGCCTTCTGGTTTATCTCATAAGCTAGCAGCTTTGCCAGTAGAAGAATGCTTAAATTCACTTTGATTGGTTTGCATTATCCCTTCTTGAAGCCTAAGATCATCTTCTGAGAACCTTGCCCCTATCAGAGTCGGTGGGGAAGGGGCCACCTCAGAAAGAACTGCTTGTAGAAGTCCTCTTCTGAAAGAGGAGCCACAAAATGAGGCATTCCCTTTCAAGAACCAGATGCAGAAGGGTATTAAAAGAGCGTCACATTCCCCTGAAACAACATTTCTTGTCTCTTGCATTCTTAGTAGCAATCTGAGTTTTTTTGGAAGAGTTTTTATCACCATGGTTTGAAGTTTTCTTGACTGTTTATCTTAGAGTGGTCAGCTTCATCTTATCAGCAATGTATTGCCACTCAGATGTGTGGTCTGTAGTTAGCCAATATATGGCATCTTGCACCGTAGAGCTACAATTTGAAGTTCTGCTTTATTTTCTTGTTAATGCCATATTGCTCTTAATTTGTTCAAACCACCAGTACACACACACACACACGCCCTCTGATCTGCCACTTACTTAAAATATGAGTCCATATGCAGTTTGTGGGAGTCAACATGAGGGGGGCAGATTTTTCTGCATGACTATTTCTACCTGTGACTTTCCAGTGCACTTAAGGCACCCTGGCTGTAAGCTTCCTGGATATATTTCATGGGAAATCACAGGGAACACCTTACATACTAGAAGACCCTGGTTTTTTTCAGGTAGAGAAGATCAGGGAGAAGCTTGAAAAGTCACCACTAGAATTTCTGATTCAGCTTGAAAAGTCACCACTCAATAACCTGATTCAGTTATTGACTTTGGTTGATCTTGAGAACTAAGGGGATGGGGGTGGGAGAAGGGGTCAGCCCTTACTAGTTTTTGAATTTGCGGGGGATGTGGAAATACTTGGGAATCCCAGGGCTATAGGCTAAAGTGGGAGATTAAAAAGAAAAAAAAAAAAGGAAGAGGAGGAGGAGGAGGAGGAAGCAAAGGTGCAAACCACTTTCTCAGCTTTGTCAAGAAAACTGCATGGATGAAATTATTAGGAGTCCAACTGAGCTTGAAGACATTTTCATTTTTATCTTTACAACCCCTTACATACTTACTTGGGAGTAATTCCCATTGAATTTTATGTCTTTTTTTTTTTTTTAACTGATTTGTGGTGCTGGAGAAGACTCTTAAGAGTCCCCTGGACTGCTATGAGGTCAAACCAGTCAGTCTTAAAGGAAATCAACCCTGATCGCTCATTGGAAGGATTGATACTGAAGCTCAAGCTCAGATACTTTGACCAGCTAATGCGAAGAGAGGGCTCCTTGGAAAAGACCCTGATGCTGGGAAAGATTGAAGGCAAAAGGAGAAGAGGACGGCAGAGGATGAGATGGTTAGATAGCATCACTGAAGCAATGAGCATGAAACTGAGCCAACTCAGGGAGGCAGTGAAGGACAGGAAGTCCTGGCGTGATATGGTTCACGGGGTCACGAAGAGTCGGACACGACTTAACGACTGAACAACAACAACACTGTAAATTAATTTCAAATATTCATACATTCTGAGCTAGAAAACCTATCTGCTGGGTTAGTTTCTACACATCTTAAAATGACTAGTCCTTCAAGTAGAGACACTGTAGTCCTGTAAATGTCTGTTTAGTACTAAATCCTATTAAACAAAAGGATTATTTTAGCTATACTTAAATTGGAAGTAAGCCCAACTGAACGTAGTAGGGCTTACTTCTGCATAGTATGGAGCTCTACACGACTTTATTAGATGAGCAATTAATAACAACACGGCCTCTCATGATCAATTGGGATAGATAAAAATGCATCTACGTGGAGAAAGATTGAGAATTTCTGTGTCATTTGAATGAATGTGACGTAATAGGGCCCTCTCGATGCATTGGATGATAAGCCCGATGCCACTGGCAGGGAATTAAGGGACTTATAGTCCAAAGTTCCTGGAGAGTGTCTGGTTGGGGATAGGCTATTGTAAACTACAACATTGGGTAGATTAAAGAAGAAATATGAAGCTGCAAAGAATTGGGTCCATTCTTTTAGGTGAGGGAAGGAAAGTGACGCTTGTGGAAAGCAGAAGATTAGGATAAGTGATGTTACTTCAAGAGCTGGATGATAGATAGATAGATAGATAGATAGATAGATAGATAGATAGATAGATAGATAGATA